TCAGTACACATCCAATGTCAATACAGATTAGATGTCCATACAGATTAGCAAACATTTAGTAGACATCCAATGTCAATACAGATAAGCAAACATTCAATAGACATCCAATGTTAATACAGATAAGCAAACATTCGGTACACATCCAATGTCAATACAGATTAGCAAACATTCAGTACACATCCAATGTCAATACAGATTAGACGTCCAAACAGATTAGCAAACATTCAGTAGACATCCAATGTCAATACAGATAAGCAAACATTCAGTAGACATCCAATGTCAATACAGATAAGCAAACATTCAGGACACATCCAATGTCAATACAGATTAGCAAACATTCAGTAGACATCCAATGTCAATACAGATTAGGAAACATTCAGTAGACATCCAATGTCAATACAGATTAAGAAACATTCAGTAGACACCCAATGTGAAATGAGATTCCCCTAAAAACTATATTAAAAAGGGTTTTTGAGAACTGCACATTTTAAAGTTATAGGATCCCGTGTGTCAGATTGCAAAAAATTAAGTGTATACAGTACAGTAACCCATATAATACAAGTATATATAATAGTATCATATTAAAACTTATAATAGCATGTAAATTAGGACTCCCCACAATAACAATAATCTAATATTCCTTGTGAACAATTTAATTACCTTTGATTCTTGAAAGACATAAACACCACTTTTGATTTTCTTCTCATCAACATCACAGAACATGATCACCTGAGGAAAAAGAGATAGTCATACCTCAACACTGCACATGTAAATAAATCTGCCTAAACAAAATGTTGGAAACAGATAATGTTAATCTATAAATATGAACTATTTATCTTGTGTTCGACACAACCTTAGGTGGTTTAGATCTATTCTGTAGACAATGTACATGAAATACTTCATGATGCCTGAAACAGATCAAGCTTTGTGTTATCTTGACCTTGTCTGAGGATCTCGGCAAGAAATACAAACAGACTAATTACTACATCTACCTCCTTACAAGTATAAAATGTCCTGGCCAATCACAGAAGCCAGTACGCATATGGCTGTCTTGTATTCTGAATTATACCTTGATCAGTGCCTTCCTGACCAGGTGAGCGTTTAAGTTCTGTATAATATCAGACCTTTTTTTGGTTTTCCTTGGATAAGCTGCGGTACAACTTGCGCCCTTGCTTGCCAGCATTCCAGATGGTGAAGCAGGACCACTTACTGAGGACCTGAGACTGGATGGCTGCCACGCGCCGCTCCCATATTGTATCTCTGTGTATGTAAATTAAATCATTCAGTGATATATACCAAAATGTCTGACTGGTTTTGAGCTCACCGTTTCCGTCTCAAGCATCACTGATGATGACTGGAAATTTATAATGCAGGACTTGATACTAGCTACTTGATGCACTAATTTTGGTATTTGTGCTTATTATCATTATTTTTTCTTAATGCAAAGAAATTTGCTCATTATCGTTATTAAATTTTATCAATGAAGTGTACGAAAATTGTACCAAATGGTTGCATAATCTGCATGGTGTTAAAACTGAGTGACTTGGCAAAAATTTGTTGGACAGAAATTGTGGCAGTATACCTGGAAATTTTGCTGTAATATAACGTTAATATTTTGATTTCAATAATAGGGAAAGCAATAGATATCTGGTTTAACTGACTTAAACATTAGTATAATAGTATTATAAGCTGATGAAATCTCTACACTACTGATAACTACTAAGGTTTTTTCCCCTGTTCATACAAGTATCTACCTTCCACACTCACTGAGGAAGCTGACAGGACTTCAAATTTATTAACTATCCTTCAGATATAACAGGCACAGATAAAATACAGACCATAATAGTATCATTCAGTAGTCTGAGGATAACATATCTATATTGAGCTCAAAGCCACTATTGACTTATTTGATTTCCTATGTCACTACATTGTATAGCATACATATATGCATATATGGACTAAGAGGGTTAAGGTAGAGGACTGTGGGTGGTATCTACTGAGAGGTTAAGGCAGAGGACTGTGTGTGGTATCTACTGAGAGGTTAAGGTAGAGGACTGTGTGTGGTATCTACTGAGAGGTTAAGGTAGAGGACTGTGTGTGGTATCATCACATGTATCGACTGAGAGGTTAAGGTAGAGGACTGTGTGTGGTATCAGCACATGTATCGACTGAGAGGTTAAGGTAGAGGACTGTGGGTGGTATCGACTGAGAGGTTAAGGTAGAGGACTGGGTTGTATCGACTGAGAGGTTAAGGTAGAGGACTGCGGGTGGTATCTACTGAGAGGTTAAGGTAGAGGACTGTGTGTGGTATCGTCACATGTATCGACTGAGAGGTTAAGGTAGAGGACTGGGTTGTATAGACTGAGAGGTTAAGGTAGAGGACTGTGTGTGGGATCATCACATGTATCGACTGAGAGGTTAAGGTAGAGGACTGTGTGTGGAATCATCACATGTATCGACTGTGAGGTTAAGGTAGAGGACTGTGTGTGGTATCATCACATGTATCGACTGAGAGGTTAAGGTATAGGACTGTGGGTGGTATCGACTGACAGGTTAAGGTAGAGGACTGTGGGTTGTATCGACTGAGAGGTTAAGGTAGAGGACTGCGGGTGGTATCTACTGAGAGGTTAAGGTAGAGGACTATGGGTAGTATCTACTGAGAGGTTAAGGTAGAGGAATGTGGGTGGTATCTACTGAGAGGTTAAGGTAGAGGACTGTGTGTGGTATCTACTGAGAGGTTAAGGTAGAGGACTGTGTGTGGTATCTACTGAGAGGTTAAGGTAGAGGACTGTGAGTGGTATCTACTGAGAGGTTAAGGTAGGGGACTGTGGGTGGTATCTACTGAGATGTTAAGGTAGAGGACTGTGTGTGGTATCTACTGAGAGGTTAAGGTAGAGGACTGTGAGTGGTATCTACTGAGAGTTTAAGGTAGAGGACTGTGGGTGGTATATATGTACTCATGGACTTAGAAGGTATAGTGGCCTGTTGGTGGTATCTTACTTATGGACTGAGATGGTAGTTACCTGTGGGTGGTATCTTACTCATGGACTGTGAAGGTATAGTGGCCTGTGAATGGTATCTTACTCATGGGCTGAGAAGGTAGTGACCTGTGCATGGTATATATGTACTCATGGACTTAGAAGGTATAGTGGCCTGTTGGTGGTATCTTACGCATAGACTGAGATGGTAGTTACCTGTGGGTGGTATCTTACTCATGGACTGTGAAGGTATAGTGGCCTGTGGGTGGTATCTTACTCATGGACTGAGATGGTAGTGACCTGTGGGTGGTATATGTGTACTCATGGACTGAGAAGGTAGTGACCTGTGGGTGGTATCTTACTCATGGACTGAGATGGTAGTGACCTGTGGGTGGTATCTATGTAATCATGGACTGAGAAGGTATAGTCGCCTGTGGGTGGTATCTTACTCATGGACAGAAGGTAGTGGCTTGTTGGTGGTATATATGTACTCATTGACTGAGATGGCAGTGACCTGTGGGTGGTATATGTGTACTCATGGACTGAGAAGGGATAGTGGCCTGTGGGTGGTATCTATGTGTTCATGGACTGAGAAGGTAGTGGCCTGTGGGTGGTATCTTACATGGACTGAGATGGTAGTGACCTGAGGGTGGTATCTATGTACTCATGGACTGAGAAGGTAGTGACCTGTGGATGGTATCTTACTCATGGACTGTGAAGGTATAGTGGCCTGTGAGTGACATGTGGGTGGTATCTAACACATGGACAGAGAAGATACATGTAGTGGCTTGTGGGTGGTATCTATGTACTCATGGACTGAAAAGGTAGTGACCTGTGGGTGGTATCTTACTCATGGACTGTGAAGGTATAGTGGCCTGTGAGTGACATGTGGGTGGTATCTAACACATGGACAGAGAAGGTACATGTAGTGGCTTGTGGGTGGTATCTATGTACTCATGGACTGAGATGGTAGTGACCTGTAGGTGGTATATATGTACTCATGGACTGAGAGGGTAGTCACCTGTAGGTGGTATATATGTACACATGGACTGAGATGGTAGTGACATGTGGATGGTATCTATCTACTATGGACAGAGAAGGTAGTGGCCTGTGGGTGGTATCTATCTCATGGACTGAGATGGTAGTGACCTGTGGGTGGTATATATCTCATGGACTGCGATGGTAGTGACCTGTGGGTGGTATCTATCGGCTATGGACTGAGAAGGTAGTGGCCTGTGGGTGGTATATATGTACTCATGGACTGAGATGGTAGTGACCTGTGGGTGGTATCTTACCCATGGACAGAGAAGGCTGTGGCTTGTGGGTGGTATCTATGTACTCATGGACAGAGAAGGCAGTGGCTTGTGGGTGGTATCTATGTACTCATGGACAGAGAAGGTAGTGGTCTGTGGGTGGTATATATGAACTCATGGACTGAGATGGTAGTGACCTGTGGGTGGTTTCTATGTACTATGGTCTGAGATGGTAGTGGCTTGTGGGTGGTATCATACTCATGGACTGAGAGATGGTGGCCAGTGGGTGGTATCTAAGTACATATGGACTGAGAAGGTAGTGGCCTGTGAGTGGTATATATGTACTCATGAACTTAGATTGTAGTGACATGTGTGTGGTATCTTACTCATGGACAGAGAAGGTACATGTAGTGGCTTGTTGGTGGTACATATGTACTCATGGACTAAGATGGTAGTGACCTGTGGGTGGTATCTTACTTATGGACTGAGAAGGTAGTGGCCAGTGGGCGGGATCTAAGTACATATGGACTGAGAAGGGAGTGGCCTGTGGGTGGTATCTATCTCATGGACTGAGATGGGAGTGACCTGTGGGTGGTATCTTACTCATGGACTGAGATGGTAGTGACCTGTGGGTGGGATCTTACTCATGGACAGAGAAGGTAGTGGCTTGTGGGTGGTATCTATGTACTAATGGACTGAGATGGTAGTGACCTGGGGGGGGTATCTTACTCATGGACAGAGACGGTATAGTGGCCTGTGGGGGGTATATATGTACTCATGGACTTAGATGGTAGTGACCTGTGGGTGGTATCTATGTACTCATGGACTGAGAAGGTATAGTGGCCTGTGGGTGGTATCAATGTACTCATGGACTGAGAAGGTAGTGGCCTGTGGGTGGTATCTATGTACTCATGGACTGAGAGGGTAGTGACCTGTGGGTGGTATCTTACTTATGGACTGAGATGGTAGTGACCTGTTGGTGGTATATATGTGTTCATGGACTGAGCGGGTAGTGACCTGTGGGTGGTATCTTACTTATGGACTGAGATGGTAGTGACCTGTGGGTGGTATATATGTACTCACGGACTGAGATGGTAGTGACCTGTGGGTGGTATCTATCTACTATGGACTGAGAAGGTAGTGACCTGTGGGTTGTATGTATCTTACCCATGGACAGAGAAGGCAGTGGCTTGTGGGTGGTATCTATGTACTCATGGACAGAGAAGGTAGCGGTCTGTGGGTGGTATATATGTACTCATGGACTGAGATGGTAGTGACATGTGGGTGGTTTCTATGTACTATGGTCTGAGATGGTAGTGGCTTGTGGGTGGTATCATACTCATGGACTGAGAGATGGTGGCCAGTGGGTGGTATCTAAGTACATATGGACTGAGAAGGTAGTGGCCTGTGAGTGGTATATATGTACTCATGAACTTAGATTGTAGTGGCATGTGGGTGGTATCTTACTCATGGACAGAGAAGGTACATGTAGTGGCTTGTTGGTGGTATATATGTACTCATGGACTAAGATGGTAGTGACCTGTGGGTGGTATATATGTACTCACGGACTGAGATGGTAGTGACCTGTGGGTGGTATCTTATTCATGGACAGAGAAGGTAGTGGCTTGTTGGTGGTATATATGTACTCATTGACTGAGAAGGTGGTGGCCTGTGCAAGGTATCTACATTTATATAGGCTGAGAGAGTAGTGTATGGCCTGTTGGTGATATCAACGTACTCATGGACTGAGAAGGTAGTGGCCTGTGCGTGGTATCTGCATACTCATGGACTGAGAAGGTAGTGGACTGTGCGTGGGATCTACATTTATATAGGCTGAGAGAGTAGTGTATGGCCAGTGCGTGGTATCAACGTACTCATGGACTGAGAAGGTAGTGGACTGTGCGTGGTATCTACATACTCATGGACTGAGAAGGTAGTGGCCTGTGCGTGGTATCTACATACTCATGGACTGAGAAGGTAGTGGCCTGTGCGAGGTATCTACATTTATATAGGCTGAGAAAGTAGTGTATGGCCTGGTGGTGGTATCAACGTACTCATGGACTGAGAAGGTAGTGGACTGTGCGTGGTATCTACATACTCATGGACTGAGAAGGTCGTGGCCTGTTGGTGGTATCAACGTACTCATGGACTGAGAAGGAAGTGGACTGTGCGTTGTATCTACATACTCATGGACTGAGAAGGTAGTGGCCTGTGTGTGGTATCTACATTTATATAGGCTGAGAGAGCAGTGTATGGCCAGTGCGTGGTATCAACGTACTCATGGTCTGAGAAGGTAGTGGACTGTGCGTGGTATCTACATACTCATGGACTGAGAAGGTAGTGGCCTGTTGGTGGTATCTACATACTCATGGACTGAGAAGGTCGTGGCCTGTGCGTGGTATCTACATTTATATAGGCTGAGAGAGTAGTGTATGGCCTGTTGGTGGTATCAACGTACTCATGGATTGAGAAGGTTGTAGCCTGTGGGTGGTATCTGTACATTACAAGATCCTTATCAACACGAAACAATCCACCACCCAACTCAAGGTGACGGTAGAAAAATATCAGGTCTTCAGGTACTCCCTGTATAAAAGAACAAAAAAATCTTACTGTTAAATACTTATGTATTTGACTTTTAATTACATGTACAGTACACTGTCAGTACATGGAATGGGAAAGGAAAACACATCAGAGTAACATGTATATGCTAGATTGCACATTTCTTAAACAATTAGTATATTTTGTTTGCTGTTTAATCAATATTCATAACAATTATAGTGGATTGCACAGTATTACACTATGCATGATGTGCAAACAATGTGTGCACTATATGTGAACCATAACTGTAAACAACAAAACTCTTAGCGATTATAGCACACATGCATCTGTGCACACAATGGACAAACGATATATGATAGCAATTGTGGTGGATGTAAATTGCTGAATGGCTTAACAAGATTACATATTTAAACCTATATAAACTTGATTTTAATTAAGATATTAAATACCTACAATGTGCCTTATTTCATATGAGTCTTCCAGATTATTTTCATTCCATGATATTGATCAACCATTATACCAAATTACACATTTTGTGTTAACATTATCACACAATGGAAAGGGCAATAGCTATAGCATGTGGACAATAAGTAGACATCATGTGTGGACAATATGCAGACATCATGTGTGGACAATATGCAGACATCATGTGTGGACAATATGCAGACATCATGTGTGGACAATATGCAGACATCATGTGTGGACAATATGCAGACATCATGTGTGGACAATATGCAGACATCATGTGTGGACAATATGCAGACATCATGTGTGGACAATATGCAGACATCATGTGTGGACAATATGCAGACATCATGTGTGGACAATATGCAGACATCATGTGTGGACAATATGCAGACATCATGTGTGGACAATATGCAGACATCATGTGTGGACAATATGCAGACATCATGTGTGGACAATATGCAGACATCATGTGTGGACAATATGCAGACATCATGTGTGGACAATATGCAGACATCATGTGTGGACAATATGCAGACATCATGTGCACACTATGTGCTTGCTATATTTTGAGTGATGTGCAATCACACAACTGTTCATGAATCATAATATGTAACTTTAGCATATACATATGCATTAACTTATGTTGCCACAGGTTAAGTGAATACCTGTGTAAGATACCACCTGTAATAGAGACCACTGTAAAAAGTGACCATATGTCATAGATAACCACCTGTATTGAGTGACCCTCTGTAATAAATGACAACCTGTAATAAGTGACCACTGTAATAAATTACCTCATTGACCTGCAATAAGTGAACACTTGTATTTATTTGATTTAGTTTATAAGGCTGTTTTTATTACTTTATTTACACACATGACTTTTTACACTAGCAGCAATATTTATCCTGTCACAGAACCAGGTAGAAACATTTTGTAAATGATGCATATAAATAAATGTTAAGTTACCTTTCCTCCCTCATCAAAGCCTCCAACTTTCTTGTACAGATCCCTGGAGCAAAACCAGGTTGGCATCAGCACTGTTGGTCCATGGGAAGTATACATCTAGTAACAGTCAGTGTGAGGAATAATGCTAGTAACAGTCAGTGTGAGGTGGATATCTAGTAACAATCAGTGTGAGGTATACATCTAGTCACAATCAGTGTGAGGTGGACATATAGTAACAATCAGTGTGAGGTATACATCTAGTAACAATCAGTGTGAGGTGGACATCTAGTTACAATCAGTGTGAGGTGGACATATAGTAACAATCAGTGTGAGGTATATATCTAGAAACAATCAGTGGGAGGTATATAGAAAGTAACAATCAGTGTGAAGTATATATTTAGTAACAATCAGTGTGAGGTATATATCTAGTTACAATCAGTGGGATGTATATATCTAGTATCAATCTGTATGAGGTAAACATCTTGTAACAATCAGTGTGAGGTATATATCTAGTTACAATCAGTGTGAGGTATATATCTAGTAACAATCAGTGGGAGGTATATAGCTAGTAATAATCTGTGTGAGGTACATATTTAGTAACAATCAGTTTGAGGTATAAAGCTAGTAACAATCAGTGTGAGGTATATAGCTAGTAACAATCCGTGTGAGGTATACATCTAGTAACAATCAGTGTGAGGTATATATCTAGTAACAATCAATGTGAGGTAAACATCTAGTAACAATCAGTGTGAGGTATATATCTAGTAACAATCAGTGTGAGGTATATATCTAGTAACAATCAGTGGGAGGTATAGTATATCTAGTAGCAATCAGTGTGAGGTATAAAGCTAGTAACAATCAGTTGGAGGTACATATCTAGTTAGAGTCTGGGAGGATTATATCTAGGAACAATTTGTTGGGGTTATATATCTAGTTTTTGTCTGGGAAGCTTAAGGTTATTGAAGGTACATGTATATCCAGTAACAATCAGTGGGAGGATTTGAGCATCAAATTTTTTCAGATGGCATTCATAGGCATTATGAATGCCAACTTGACAAAAACAAATTCAATTAATCATGATTTGCCTATGTCCAGTTGGCAGTTATATTGTCTACAGACATACCTCAAACTGCTATACGCCAGATACAATCCTCCTAAACTGTTACTAGAAATAATGTAAATGTACATTTATATATATTAGTTGTGAATGTGAGGTGTGAATACATGTACCTGAGTATACAGCTGTTCCTGAGAGTTGAGAGTATATGTACCTGAGTATACGTATACAGCTGTTCCTGAGAGTTCAGAGTATATGTACCTGAGTATACGTATACAGCTGTTCCTGAGATTTGAGAGTATATGTACCTGAGTATACAGCTGTTCCGGAGAGTAGACAGTATATGTACCTGAGTATACAGCTGTTCCCGAGAGTAGACAGTTTATGTACCTGAGTATACAGCTGTTCCCGAGAGTTGACAGTATATGTACCTGAGTATACAGCTGTTCCGGAGAGTAGACAGTATATGTGCCTGAGTATACAGCTGTTCCCGAGAGTAGAGAGTATATGTACCTGAGTATACAGCTGTTCCCGAGCGTAGACAGTATATGTACCTGAGTATACAGCTGTTCTTGAGAGAAGACAGTATATGTACCTGAGTATACAACTGTTCCCGAGAGAAGACAGTATATGTACCTGAGTATACAGCTGTTCTCGAGAGTAGACAGTTTATGTACCTGAGTATACAGCTGTTCCCGAGAGTAGACAGTATATGTACCCGAGTATACAGCTGTTCCCGAGAGTAGACAGTTTATGTACCCGAGTATACAACTGTTCCCGAGAGTTGACACTATATGTACCTGAGTATACAGCTGTTCCCGAGAGTAAACATTATATTTACCTGAGTATACAGCTGTTCCCGGGAGTAGACAGTATATGTACCTGAGTATACAGCTGTTCCCGAGAGTAGACAGTTTATGTACCCGAGTATACAACTGTTCCCGAGAGTTGACACTATATGTACCTGAGTATACAGCTGTTCCCGAGAGTAAACATTATATTTACCTGAGTATACAGCTGTTCCCGAGAGTTGACAGTATATGTACCTGAGTATATAGCTGTTCCTGAGAGTTGACAGTATATGTACCTGAGTATACAGCTGTTCCCGAGAGTAGACAGTATATGTACCTGAGTATACAGCTGTTCCCGAGAGTAAACATTATATGTACCTGAGTATACAACTGTTTCCGAGAGTAAACATTATATGTACCTGAGTATACAACTGTCCCGAGAGTAGACAGTATATGTACCTGAGTATACAGCTGTTCCGGAGAGTTGACAGTATATCTACCTGAGTATACAGCTGCTCCTGAGATATTGTGTTGGCCCAGTTAGTATAACGCTGAGTGGACCCCTCAGGTAATCGATGGAACTTAGATCCCACTATCTGAAACATTAAACACAATAAGTTAACCAAAGACAGGAGAGCGAGTGGACACCGACTTTTTTTACATGGACTAACTGATGACACTAATTCATTTACTTTATTTTAACACTTACATTTTATTCAACACATTTAAGCAATTTTTGTACTTGCATTTGCTACTGATGAAACTCAGACATACTTTAATGCTGTGTAATTAATACTCAATGTTGTAAGTGCACCTATCAGTTTTATCATATTTTCCCGCAGTGGAATCGTTTCCCAATAACAGTTGATATATTGTTTGTTAAAAAAAAAATTGTTAAAATATTTGATATTTTTCGTAGTTATTCACATTGTACAACTACATTTGACAAACGTTAATAGAGCTGTAAGCCTCTAATACAAGTGACTCATTCAATAATGCACACATTTAATTGTGTTTGGATTTATAATTGACTCATTAAACACATGTATTGTAACTCTAAGAGTGACTCCTACTCACACTTTTTGGGTGGCTGACAGCAGCCTGGTACTGATGTGCCACTCGTTCCTTATGCATTACATCATCCTGTGTGAAATCAAAACAGAGATGGAAATATATATATATCTATATACATATATTGTCATATTGGATATCATCCATGCCTTATGTACATGTATATAAATATAAAGATCTCTGAGAGTATTTAAAATAAATTTGTAAACAAAAATGTTCAGATATTAGACAGTAGGAAAATAGGAATAAATTGTGCAGAAAGAGGTAATCTATACTAATCAAGCGAACATCTTTTCCCTGTATCCATATGTCTGTTCAATAGGTTGGAGACATTTTCTTTATTCAAGTATTAACTTACTGCATCCAGGAAGCAGAGGAACCGTCCAGAGCTGGCTTGTATTGCTTGGTTCTTGGCAAACCCCACTGTAACACAGGAACACAGATTTTTGCAGGTTTACTAAGAAAATCACAGAAATAACCGTATAGACATAAAACTACAAATATCTGATGACTTAGGCAGCACACATTTATTGTGTGGACAAGCCAGTATGAGTGGACTACATTTATTGAGTACAATGTACTATCTGAGATATCAGATAAAGACGGTATGTATTTGTGGTATTGTTTTACATGTCTATAATAGTTCTCTACGTGTAAATGATGGAACTAGTGCTGTAAAATCTACTCATGATTACACAAGATTTTAGTTCAATTTGCTTTCCAATCATTTTAATCAACCATCAACACTAAGTACAAAATAATACCAGATCACCAGTATAAAATGGCACAAAGATATTTTTGAAAATATTTGTATCAATTCATCAATTTGATGATTGAATAAAACCAGTAAGTTCCAGATGAAATGCAATGTTTTATATCACATGAACTGAAAAATGTGCACACATATTTGTATCGCTATACAGTGGAACCCACTTATTACGTAGTAAAATAAACTATAGGTTAATGTTATAAAACATATATTACACAGCCATAACCTAGAGCTCTAGTATTGTGGTGCAATGTATTATCTTTGTCCCTGTTAATGTTACTTAAATAACCAGTAAATTTTACAGGTTTATATGTATATTTGTATATATTATTATGCATAATCATGATCATTAACCATGTTTGTAGGATTTACTGTCATTTCATTACCTCCCCTTGGAGAATCGGATGTGTTTTCTGAGATTGTGACTTTGATATCTTTGGTCCTCAGAGTGTCAGCCCATTCCTTGATCAGTTCCATGGATTTATCCTGGGAAACAAACCAGGTCTAATTTATTGTATACATAAAATATATGATACTGCTACAATATTATTTACTGCCATGGCATATAATTATGCAATTTCATATTTGCACACAGTATGTGAGAGCTAACAGACAGAATTCTTATGATAAATCTCAGTAAATTATGATACATGTACATAGCATATGAACACCAACACTTTATCAAATATCTGATGTCAAGTACTGGTACTCACAGTGCTGGCATCGTTGTAGATCGATAGCTCCATACTTCCCTGGAACTCCTGGTCATACACAGATTGTAGAGACTCTGCCAACCACTGCTCTCCATTGTACACAGGCATCACCACAGACTGTCACAACCAGATACAGATTGTATATGTTATACCGTGACCAGAGATAATTCATAACACAGATTTATTTCAGGTTTCAAAATAGCATTAAATTAACTAACTCTCTGAGTGAACTCCTTATCTTAAAATTGAATAAAGTTTTGTTGGATTATGCTACTGTAAGAAATCTTGTGGAAAATGATCAAACCAGGGACCAACAGAGACCTCTGAATGCTAGACCCTAGCCCGAGTTTCCTCTGGCTCTGACACCAGATTTTCGACATTTTGACAGATACAAGTTGTATAATAATATGTGTACATGTGGGTATCATATATCTGTCAAAATGTCGAGTCTGGTGTCGGGGCCAGAGGAAATTCGGGTTATCTAGACCCCTGTTAAAAAGGGTCAAGGTCATATAATAGCCTTTCTGAGGGGCGGTGGGGTGGGTAACCGGTGGGGGAGGGGGTTAGGGTTTGGGGTATTATGGGTTTGTAATTGAGTGGTATATGGTATCGCCTATATACGACACACTTAAAGGTAGCTATACTTTAATTCCATGTATATACTGTTAGTATATTTAATGAACAAGAGGCAATATTATTTAGACTGTATTGGATACTGGATAAATCTTACCACGTCCGTCGCCATTTCCCAGGAACAAATGTTAAACACCAAAGGCAAATTCAAAGTTGTCTTACATACGCCACGATACGCCAATTTCAGACATTGTGATGCATGTGGCTTTATACGATGAGTTTTCATCTGCCATATGAAACATTTAACGCAGGCATTCATTAGCGATTTGTTTTATCAGCCCGACACGTTTTGCGCTAACATGGATATGTTGTCAAAGTGAAAGTAGCAATAACGTACGCATGCGCTGTACTGTAAAGTACTGTTCCGCTTGATAGACTTAAAGCTTAGACGAGTCCGATACTTTGGGGTATTGGACATTACAGCTTCTGGAGCGGCTGACGTTCTGGGACTATCGCCGCTGGACACATTCCTTCACAAAATCCTGGAGTTGAAGATGGTCAGACACGTATATATATAGGCTAGCGTATTAGACCTCGTTCCGATACAAAGATATTCTAAATAAATAAAAATGGAAATTAAAAAACAGCCTCTCTTATATACTGTCGGAGACCTACATTTGTATATAGCTAGGCTAGTCTATTAGGTCTCTAGCTTTAGCTCATGCTGCATAATTCTTTAAATTGATAACAAATTGCGCTGATCCGAAACAAAGTAACATCAAATCCGTTATTTTAGATTTAGGTATATTGAAACCTCACACAGTAGTTTTTCCCATGTTGTACGTTATCTTTCAGATTAGATATTTTGATCATTATATTTATTCCAAAAGGTTATTTTTCACGGTTTCACTGAATTGACCTATCGTCAAAGCTGATGACATCATGCCATGCAAAGTCATGTTTCATTAAAAATATTTTAAATCCTATTCAGGTTAACTTTATAAAACTTAAACTGTAATTGACCCGTAAAATCGGGTGAGATATTCAAGTGTTTTAAAAATAGCAACCGATTGCTTTCTCTACAAAAATGTAGCGAAGACAGTTCAATAAAAAAATACACGTTATGTGTGTCTTAAACAAAGTTGGAAGTAATTTTACCGTAAAAAGCCAATTATAATGTTCACATGATTTCCCGCAAAAATTGCAGCCCCTGTATAATTTAGTGGGTACTGGTATCAAAATGGAGAAAAAAACCGGTATATTTTTTTTTTTTAGATTATGTAGGATCAAGGTTTTGGTTTGGTTTGGTTTGGTTTTATTTTTTAACGTCCTATTAACAGCTAAGGCCATTTAAGGACGTGCCTCAATGTGTGTTTTGTAAGCGTGCATGTGTGTGCTGGAGACAGGGTATGCTGCTGTAGGCCTACTTGCCTCCTTGTGATAGAGCGGATCTCATGCCGACTTTATAGTGATATCATCAAGCATAGTATTCCGCCCGGTCACATTATACTGACAACGGGTGAACCAGTTGTTGCCATTCTCCTTAATGCTGAACGTTAAGCAGGGAACACCAACTACCATTGTTTAGGCATTTGGTATGTCCCGACCTGGGGACAGATCCCATTGCCTTCCTCACCTTGGCGAACGTTCAACAATAAAGCCAAAAGCGAGGTATTGCCAAGCAACGAAGGCGCTTGGAAATACAAGAGGCCCATGGGCCTAAACGGTCACATGAGTCCTACAGTATTTATTTTTGTTGTTGAAATATGTACCAATTTGAGTACAAAATAGTTAAGTATAACGGTAACTTAAGTTTGACAGGACCATGAGCTGACCATTCCTAGACCGAGTTTCAGTTAAATCGGCCTATTAGAACTTGTTTTTAAGTTTGAAATAGTTTTTTTCAAAATGGCGGCCGTGTCGGCCATATTGGATTTCTGATCGACCCGAAAAAAATCTAAACAATTTGTCAGGACCATGAGTCAATTATTCCTACAAAGTTTCAGTTCAATCGGCCCCGTAGAACTTGACTTTAAGTTTGAAATAGTTTTCAAAATGGCGGCCGTGTCGGCCATATTGGATTTCTGATCGACCCGAAAAATAACAACACTTTGTCAGGACCATGAGTCGATCATTCCTACAAAGTTTCAGTTTAATTGGCCCCGCAGAACTTGACTTTAAGTTGAAAATAGTTTTTCAAAATGGCGGCCGTGGCGGCCATATTGGATTTCTGATCGACCCGAAAAAAATTCTTAACAATTTGTCAGGACCATGAGTCAATCATTCCTACAAAGTTTCTGTTCAATCGGTCCCGCAGAACTTGACTTTAAGTTTGAAATAGTTTTTCAAAATGGCGGCCGTGGCGGCCATATTGGATTTCTGATCGACACGAAAAATAACAACACTTGGCCAGGGATATGTCAGCAACCTTCCCATGAAATATTAATGAAATCCCTTTGCCAGTATTTCAGCTTATTTCAGTTGAGAATGTAAAATGTTAACGGACGACGGAGGACAACGGGCGAAGACGGATAGCAATAGGTCACTTTAGCTAAAGCTCAGGTGACCTAAAAAGGTACTTAGAAGTAGAAAGAAAGATAAAGATTTCAAATGTTGCAATGGGCGCAGCAGATTTATATTGGTTCGTTTGTGTCCTCTGCTTTTTGTGTCCTCAAGCAGAGGACACAAAAGCAAATCCCCAATTCTGCAGGGGGTTCCCCGTTAGTCGCCTTTTACGATACATGCAGTGGGTAACATCAGGCGCATTCTTTTCTCGATCCCCGACCTGCAGGGGTTTTATTGACACCATGCGAAGATTTCATCACGATATCATTGATTTTTCTTGGATAATTTTATACAAAATAAAAATTCCAAATCTAAATGTTTTCCCGCCTAAAACCTAATAAGAAACGCTTGTTTTCAAATGGTCACAGAAGGAAAAAAACGCACAGCGACTCTTAATTTCTTTTCGGTTTGAGTATATGTATGTTGGCTACAAAATAGTCATGAAAATAAATAAATATAATAATTCGTTATGCTGAAGCATACTGCAGGATTAAACGATCGTGAGCATCTTCACTTCAGAATAATACAGGTTGTCATCAACCCATGCCGCAGTACATAATGATACATTGTCATTGTTGGAGGGACACGTAATCCGTCGTCTTCTTCTTCCAATTGTATGCATACCACCTCTGGTGTATTGTCGCAGATGTGACACATACCCAGTGGAAACAGCCTCAGTTAAGACCAACCTTATGAACAACACATACAGTTAACACAGCTCACAGTGCCGTAGTGTGCTGCAGTACCACCTCTAGAGAGTCTGCTGAGATGACTCGGGATTTGTAAGTCATTCAACAGGCGAATGGCGGAGGGGAACAAGGACTGCTGCAGATTGCTTTGTAATTTGGAGAAGGGAAGGTGGAAATTAAGGCCCCTGTTATAATGGCTGGCTCTCATGAAAAGTATTATGGGTTGTGATGGTATTACCGCTAACTCGTTGATGATGCGGTAGAGAATGATGACCTTTGCCCGCTTTCTCCGTTCTTCTAAGGTTGTCCATTGCAGTTTCCCGGCATTGATGTTACGCTGTTAGTTGTCTATATAATCTCCAATGACGAAGCGTGCTGCCCTTCTGTGCACCATCTCAAAATTCTGGCGTTCTTTTGTCCATTTCAATCCCATACAACGTTCACATATATTATGATAGGACAGCGTTCTATAGCACTGCTCCTTGATTTAATGTGGACTGGTTATGATGTTCCTTCTCATAAATGCATTATGTTGTTTGCCTTTTTCAAAAGAGTTCCTATGTGATTTGACCAGCTGAGATTGTCACTGATGTTTACTCCAAGTTCTAAGTTGTCTTAACTGTGCCGAGTTAGGTCCCATTGATGCCGTAGGTGGAAACTAGGGGCTTGAATGAATCTAATCTGTTAGTGACATGTAGTACCTCACATTAGTCGGTATATAACTGCACCAGACATTCGTTCTCCCGTGTCTCCATGTGTTCTTACCTTCATTTAGAGGAGACGACCATCTACAAACAGTTTAGCTGGTTATGCTACACTCGCAGGCAGGTCGTCGATGTAGACGAGAAAGAGCAGAGGTCCCTTGACTGTTCCATGGGGGACTCCAGATGTTAGGTCCGTCCTCTCTTATCCTTTCCTATCCACCACCACTTCTTGTTTTCGGTGTTGCAGGAAACTGACAATCCATTGGAGTGAGCTGTCTCTTATCCCGTAGTAGTCGCACGTGCTAAGAGCCTCTGATGAGGGACCTTATCAAAGGCTTTTAAAAAGGAGTACGTTGTTAAGGACATCTGCTTTGTCCTGCAATGTGGGGATAGGTTGGTTTTCACATGTTCCGTGCTTTTCGGAATTCATGTTGGAGGTATGATAATATGTTCCCATTTTCGAGATTATCAATGATGTTGCTGTATAGTATATGCTCGACGATCTAACATGTGATGGAGGTGAGGGATACTGGACACTAGTTTGATGCCTTCCCTCGATCTCACTGCTGGAAGAGAGATGTGACCACAGCTTCTTACCACATGTCTAGTACCCGTCCTTGGTTTAATGATGCCTTGAATATCAATGTTAAGACAGGTGTAACCTCCTCTGCTAGTTCCCTCAGGAGCGGTCCTGGGATAGTATCGGGGCCAATGGCTTTGTGGATGTTGATATTCTTCAGCAACTTCATCACTCCAGGAGGATGAATGACGATCTCTGGCAGAACTGGATAGGGACTAACACCTTTATTGGACACAACTCTAATCCTCCCTTTTGAAGACTGATGTGAACTGTTTGTTGAAGACATTAGCCTTGCTGGTACTACCGCTATATAACATTCCCGTCTACCTTAATGGTGAGACCAAAGTGTTTTCCATTTAAAACATCAAACTTTCTTTGGGTTGGTGGAATGGTCTCTCCTGTAGCTTACTTGAGAGTTTCTTCATGTCCCGATTTATCCAGACCTGACTATACTGTTGGGAGGTCATCTTGTTTGGTACATGGTCGGACACATAAAGGTATTCCACAGCGTGTTTATGTCAGTGTCGATGGTCTGTGACTTGGTGAAGTCTGAGGCAAATTTATTCTAGTTGGTATGCAAGCTGTTAAAGTCAGCATTTTGTCTTGACTTTCGTCTTGAGGGCCGACTCTACATTTGCCTTGACACTGGCCTCAATGTATGCGATACAAGATACAAGATACAAGAAACTTTATTCAACGTCGCATACATGTAAACAAGGAACATTAGCTCTTGAGAGCTAATATTGCGACAAACATATGTAAAAATAACAATAACATATTATATTACATGTAAAGGAAGATAATCACATATATTAATAATAAAACAGTAATAATCATCACAGAAAAAGAGAGTATACATATCCCAGGTTTCTAAGTGATTGGGAGTCCCCTACCTACAAAGGCCCCCGGGATATATATATCAAAATGGTGTTAATAGATGAAAAGCATTAAATGTGATCACAGATAAGTAGTATTCAGAATAGATAAATAAAAGACATAGTTAATAGTGAATGAATACTTGTATATCACACAAGAATTACTTAGGAAGTCGAATATACATACAATGCTAATATAGCAAAGAATAAAAATTGTCAGAATATACACTATTATAGTGTGAATTAACAATGATACCGAAATCAATTAACAAAATTTATCAAAAATATATTTTAGAATATATGGAATTAAAATACAAATAAGATGCAGCAAAAATATAGAATAGAATTAAAACATATAAGAAATGAGATAAGATGTTGTCGTCATCACTGATGCCTGGTATTGGTGTTCATTGATTGATTAAGTCAGGTCTGTTGGTAAAGAAGGTTTCTAGACTAATATCTTCTCTTGTAGGAAACTTTATAATCTGGCTAAGGTCTGTACGTTGATGAAACTTTCATCTATTTGCTTCGGGTATCTGTTTCCACTAGTGGTGTCCGTCTTCCAGTTGTTTATATGTGGTACGTTGGCATCATGACCGGCTAACCAAATTGAAGATTTAGTGTTGCTGTTTACAACTTGTTTGATTTCATCAATCAAAACTCTAGTGTGTTCATGATCTTTGTTAGCTGTCGATAGAATGAGCCCACCACCAAGGTGGGCTTTTTTCTGTCCCTCAACTTAGACGGCAACAAACTCACTCTTTAGATCCAAGTGTAACCGCGTGCTTGTGTAGCATGACCTGACTGAAATAAGGACTCCAGCATATCTATCATCACGGTCCTTCCTGTAGGTTTACTACCCTGCTGGCATTACTTTCTGAGTGGTGATCGTTTTCACAGCCAAGTACTATGTTCGATGAGGAAGGCAATGGGATCTGTCCCTAGGCCGGGATATACCAAAGTCCTTAAAATAGTAATGTTATTATCTGCTTAACTTTCAGCATTTAGGGGTATCACAACCGGTTTGTCCTTTGTCAGTAGAATGTGACCAGGCGGAATGCTGTGTTGATTGCCTTCGGCATGGTATTTCAGTGAGATAGCACTATAAACTCGGTGTCATATCCGTGCTATCAGGAGGCAAATAACAAATACCCTGCCTCCAGCATACATTATAACAGACATCTACACACACACAACACATATGGTGGCACGTCCTTAAATGACCTTAGTTGTTGATAGGACGTCAAACCCTATACAATTAACAAACCGATCACCCAACTTGTTGATCTTATGACATACAAAGTGGAACACATGTAAAATGTGTAGCATATGGCACGAATGATAAAACGTATTACCTGTGTTTATGCTATCAAACCAACGGTGAAAAAATGCTGTGTTCAGCCAAAGGTACGCATTGTTTAATAAATGTTTTATGTTTTTACTTTGTTTAGCCTATGGTTTCAATTGTGAAACCTGTATTAACTTGGTTAAGTCTAAGAGTAATGAACATATGATCCAAAGTAAAAATAAATAATAACATTTAGACAAATAGTGAAACGTGTGCTAACCTATGACACGAATGGTGAAATATACATTGCATTTTAACTTTGTTTAGCCTATGGTACAGTAAAACGTGTTTTCGTTTGTTTAGAATTGTGAACAAGAGGCCCAATGGGCCTGAATCACTCACCTGGATTAATCTCACACTTGTAATCTTAAAAGTGGACTAAAATACATAAAAATCTATTAAAAGATTTAAACATATGACGCCTGTGACCTTGAATGTCGAACAAGGACATTACGTTGAACAAAGTTTAATGTCTTCCATCCCGGCATGCTTTTGGCAAAATATCAATACCCTGGACCTTTTGGTTATTCAGAACAAGTCATTTAAAGATTTGAACATATATTGACCACTGTGACCTTGAATATGGGCGAAGGTCATTCATTTTGAAAAAAATGGTAGCCCTTCATCCCAGCCTGTTGATGACCAAATATCATCACCCTTGGCCTTTGGCTAATTGAGAAGAAGTCGTTTAAAGGTTTTAAACATATTTGACCCCTGTGACTTTGAGTCTATGTAAAGGTCATTCATTTGAACAAACTTAATAGTCCTTTATCCCAGCATGCTACTGGCCAAATATCATTATCCTAGGCCTCTTGGTTATTCAGAAAAAGTGGTTTAAAGGTTTTAAACATATTTGACCCCTGTGACCTTGAAAATAAGTAAAGGTCATTCATTTGAACAAACTTGATAACCCTTCATCCTAGCATGTTACTGGCCAAATATCATTATCCTAGGCCTCTTAGTTATTCAGAAGATGTTGTTTAAAAAATTGTTAAGACAATTGCCCCCTGTGAACTTGAAAATAAACGAGGTCATTCATATGAACAAACTTGGTAGCCCTTCATCACAGCATGCTACTGGCCAAATATCTCAACCCTAGGCCTCTTAGTTATTTAGAAGAAGTTGTTTAAAGTTTTTTAACAAATTTGCCCCCGTGACCTTGAATATAAGTAAAGGTCATTAATTTGAACAAACTTGGTAGCCCTTCATATCCCAGCCTGCTCCTGGCCAAAAATCATCATCCTAGGACTTGTGGTTATTGAGGAGAAGTTGTTTAAATGTTTTAAACACTATATCACCATTGTGACCTTGAATATTTGTCAAGGTCATTCATTTGAACAAACTTGGTAGACCTTCGTCCCAGCATGCTAAAATGTACTGGCCAAATATCACTATCCTAGGCCTCTTGGTTATTCAGAAGAAGTTGTTTAAAGGTTTTTAACATATTTGACCCCTGTGACCTTGAATATAAATCAAGGTCATTTATTTAACAAACTTGGTAGCCCTTCATCCCAGCATAATAATGGCCAAATTAAATACCCCTAGGCCTCTCGGTTATTCAGAAGAAGTTGTTTAAAGATTTTAACATATTTGACCCCTGTGACCTTGGAAATAGGTGAAGGTCATTTATTTGAACAAACTTGGTAGCCCTTCATCCCAGAATGCTTCTGGCCGAATATCATCACCCTAGAGCATTTGGTTACTGAGTAGAAGGTGTTTAGAGTAAAAAGTTGACGCCGGACGGACGCCAGATGACCGACGGATGACGCACCACACCTTGTTTAGCCTGTAGTATGTATGAAAGATGAAACATGTGTTAACTCTGTTTGGCCTGTAGTATGTATGAAAGATGAAACATGTGTTTACTTTGTTTAGCCTGTAGTATGTATGGAGAAACATGTGAACTTTGTTTAGCCTGTATTATGAATGTAGAAACATGTGAACTTTGTTTAGCCTGTATTATGAATGGTGAAACATGTGTTTACTTTGTTTACCTGTTTTATGAATGGTGAAACATGTGTTTACTTTGTTTACCTGTATTATGACTGGAGAAACATGTGAACTTTGTTTAGCCTGTATTATGAATGGAGAAACACGTGAACTTTGTTTAGCCTGTAGTATCAATCGTTTAGCCTGTATTATGAATGGAGAAACACATGAACTTTGTTTAGCCTGTATTATTGTGAAATAATACATTAACATGACAGGACACATTTATACAGAACCAATTTATTGCAGTAAAAGGTCACTACCATCACTTATCAGCATTAGCACGGTACAAAAAAGTGCACATTAGGAAAAGGAAATTCGATATAAAAACATATATTTATAAACACTTATTTGATATGAACAAAAAGCAAGTCATGGACTTATAAATGCAACTATTGCCATTTTCTAATACATTTACTACCATGCAAAAGATAAAAACTAAAATGTTCCGCAACAGGTCAAACGCTGTATTAACTAACAACAGATTGGATAAGAACCCCTAATACCACAATGAAAACAAACGCCTTTAATCAAGTTACAACATTTGGCTCTAACTTTTAATTTCCGATAAAATTTCAGAATTTGCGATAATCTATTGCAGCCAAAACAATTTTGTTTTATTTGGAATGTCTACTTAAAATGAAGCTTAAATATCAGTGAGTTTACACAGCATCTGGCACACAGCACCAAGCCCACAACACATATCAAATATAACACCTGTCACACAACACTTTCCACACACACCTGCCATTTAACACCTTACACACTACAATTATCACACGACTCCTGACTCTTAGCACCTGACACACAACACTTGATATATATACCACTGTCACACTACAGCTGTAACATAATATAACATCTAACACCAAAACCTGACACACAACACTTGATATATACCACTGTCACACTACAGCTGTAACATAATATAACATCTAACACCAAAACCTGACATACAACACCTGTCATCCAACTCCTAACACAAAAAACATCACACACAACACTTGTCACATAACACCTATAACACAAATTTTGTCACATGACACCTAACATACAACACCTGTCACATGACTTCTGACACACAACGCATGTCACTAAACACTTGTCACATGACACCTAACATCCAACATTTGTCACATGACACCTAACATCCAACACTTGTCACATGACACCTAACACCCAACACTTGTCACATGACACCGATCACCCAACACTTGTCACTTGTCACATGACACCTAACACCCAACACTTGTCACATGACACCTAATATCCAACACTTGTCACATGACACCTAATATCCAACATTTGTCACTTGTTACATGACACCTAACACCCAACACTTGTAACATGACACCTAACACCTAACACTTGCCACATGACACCTAATATCCAACACTTGTCACTTGTCACATGACACCTAACACCTAACACTTGTCACATGACACCTAATATCCAACACTTGTCACATGACACCTAACACCCAACACTTGTCACATGACACATGACACCTAACACCCAACACATGTCACATGAAACCTAACACCCAACACCTGTCACATGACACATGACACCCAACACTCAACACTTGTCACATAACACCTAACACCCAACACTTGTAACATGACACCTCATATCCAACATTTGTCACTTGTCACATGACACCTAACGCCCAACACTTGTCACATGACACATAACGCCCAACACTTGTCACATGACACATAACGCCCAACACTTGTCACATGACACCTGACACCTAACACCCAACACTTGACACATGACACATAACACCCAACACTCAACACTTGTCACATGACACCGAACACCCAACACTTGTCACATGACACCTAACACCCAACACTTGTCCACATCTCTGGTTATGTAATGTATGACACTTTTCACACGACCTGTTGTGCACTTGGTCCAGAGCACACCTTTACATGCTATAAATGTGTACAAAAATATCATTTAATGCAAGGAGACATTCACAATAAATCTATCACACTTGAGGCTAAAAATATACAATGTCAACAAAGTATAACCACATGGAATCCCAAATATTTGGCTGTTTTAGATAGAGAAACATTTTTTTTTTCAGTTCGATGAATCAAGAACATTAAATCAGCAAAACAATTAAGACAAAATAGGACTTTGGAATTTAAATATAAGGACTAATGCATGAGGAACTTTATGTGAAATAAATAACATATCTATTTACATTAGAAACATGTCTGTAACAGTAAATAGGAATACTGTAAATATAGATCCATGGCTACATTCAAATTCAAGTATGTAATTACAAAGTTCTGTTCCAAAGCTCCAAACTGATAACTACATGTCCCAGTATAAACAAAACATTTAAAATATCTAAGTACATCAAAAATCATTGAACATTGTCCTCCTAATAAATTTCAAAAACAAACATTAACTTCTGAAACAAATTTATATGTTTCAGGAACATACCACTAAATTCATATATCAAAACATTTTTTTTTAAAAAGCAACCATTCATAAGTTCCAGCTGATCGATGAGTGTGCTTTATATAAAACAGTGGACACGCAGTCCTGCCGGTTCTGAGGTGAGAATCATTTAATGTACAACAGGTTTTACAGTTAGATCACCTAAATCCAGACTACTTTACACTTAACATAAACTTGTAAATTGCTAAGGTTGTTGAATTTTTGGGGGTATTTTTAGTCTCTTTCTTCAGTTTCAATAAGTTTGTTCCCTTATTTGTTCTGCCGTGCCGACTCAGTTTTAATCAAAATATGACATGATAGAAATTAATGGAAATGAAATCCAAGATCTCAAAACCCATTTCTCTGGTACTGCTGTAGATAAATGAAATAAATATATTTCACTTGTTTAAAATATCCCCTAGTGTGCAGTCCATCAGAGACCTATAATTGATCATTGACTTTACGCCATAGACATGCAATAAGTATATATACAATGCAGGTTACATTATGTTTGGGCATATGAAACTACTACTTTGTTGGAGCGTGCTCTAATTAAAATATATAACAAATAACTGGTTTATTTTTACATAAATCAGAGACGTATATATATGTAATATATACGTCTCTGGGTAAATGGATATAGCTTAATAATGGATGCCCTAGAGCAGAGAGAGGTCAATACACTGTACCTAAACATAGCACCTACAATTGTTTGCTTTATAGACGTAAAACATGTACAGCCAGGCTGATTTGACAGTTCTAGTTACCATGGAGATGACAAATGGAAAAGAGTAAATAAAACTTTTGATTTCCAAGGCTATTACCTGTAAAAAAAGAAAATCCTTCAACCAGTTTTGGTAACCATGGAAATCATCGTTAGCTCATCAGGCCACATTACACAACTGTCATTTAGAAGTAAATTTGTCAGGGCTAAAGACACCAGTCTGCAAGGTCGGACAATACAGGTGTGGAGGTACAGAAAACAGATTCTCAATGCTTTAGAGTAGAGTCCATCATAAACAGCTACTCATGATATGGAAATTTCTACTCAAATGTAAAGAATATGGGTCAGAAATGACACTGTGAAAATGAACACTGATATTGCTAATAAGTTTAGTGTCATACAGATGGTTTTATTCTCAGTTAGAGGGAAAACTTGCACACACCAGTCATCCTTAGCAATCTTATAAGAAGTCAAAGTTTCACACAGCAGACATCCCTGGTAAAAAGTCAAAATATACATACACACATAGGGCATTTGATTAGAGGTCAAATATACATGCACAGCAGTCATTGTTTGTTTTATAGATATAGTTGCAAAGAAGTGATGTCCTTGGCTTATATGCAGATTTTGGTGTGTCATCCTAGGCTAGAAGTTACGTTTCACACAGCAGTGTCATCTTTAGCTGGAAGTCCTACATAATCACACAGCCTAGTTATCTATGGCTAGTGGTCTGTTATATGCACACAGCCTAGTTATCTATGGCTAGTGGTCTTTTATTTTCACACAGTCTAGTTATCTATGGCTAGTGGTCTGTTATATACACACAGCCGAGGTATCTATGGCTAGTGGTCTGTTATATACACACAGCCGAGGTATCTATGGCTAGTGGTCTGTTATATACACACAGCAGTGTCATCTTTAGCTGGAAGTCCTACATAATCACACAGGCTAGTTACCTATGGCTAGTGGTTTGTTATATTCACACAGCCTAGTTATCTATGGCAGGGGTCTGTTATTACACACAGCCTAGTTATCTATGGCTAGAGGTCTGTTATTACACACAGCCTAGTTATCTATGGCTAGGGGGCTGTTATATTCACACAGCCTAGTTATCTATGGCTAGGGGTCTGTTATATTCAAACAGCCTAGTTATCTATGGCTAGTGGTCTTTTATATTCACACAGTCTAGTTATCTATGGCTAGTGGTCTGTTATATACACACAGCCTAGTTTTCTATGGCTAGTGGTCTGTTATATTCACACAGCCTAGGTATCTATGGCTAGTGGTCTGTTCTATTCGCACAGCCTAGTTATCTATGGCTAGTGGTCTTTTATATTCACACAGTCCAGTTATCTATGGCTAGTGGTCTGTTATATACACACAACCTAGTTATCTATGGCTAGGGGGCTGTTATATTCACACAGCCTAGTTATCTATGGCTAGGGGTCTGTTATATTCAAACAGCCTAGTTATCTATGGCTAGTGGTCTTTTATATTCACACAGTCCAGTTATCTATGGCTAGTGGTCTGTTATATTCACACAGCCTAGGTATCTATGGCTAGTGGTCTGTTATATTCATACAGCCTAGTTATCTATGGCTAGTTGTCTGTTATATTCACACAGCCTAGGTATCTATGGCTAGTGGTCTGTTATATACACACAGCAGTGTCATCTTTAGCTGGAAGTCCTACATAATCACACAGCCTAGTTATCTATGGCTAGAGGTCTGTTATTACACACAGCCTAGTTATCTATGGCTAGGGGTCTGTTATATTCAAACAGCCTAGTTATCTATGGCTAGTGGTCTTTTATTTTCACACAGTCTAGTTATCTATGGCTAGTGGTCTGTTATATACACACAGCAGTGTCAGCGTTGGTTAGTGGACAAACTTTCACATACCAGTGTTCATTCAAAGTTAAAGGTCAAACATATTCAACAGTCAACCTTGGTTACAGGTCAAATCATGTACACACATCAATGTTCCTTGATCTCCTGTCAAACATGTACATACATTAATTATATTTGATCTCAAGTCAAACATGTACACACATCAATTATATTTGATCTCAAGTCAAACATGTACACACATCACTTAATAAAGAACAGCTTTCAGTTGTCTTTTTTGCCTAGATTTTGTATACACATCAATTATATTTGATCTCCAGTCAAACATCTACACACATCACTTAATTAAGGACAGCTTTCAGTTGTCTTTTTTGCCTAGATTTTGTACACACATCAATTATATTTGATCTCCAGTCAAACATCTACACACATCAGTTAATTAAGGACAGCTTTCAGTTGTCTTTTTTGCCTAGATTTTGCTCTTGTACTTCTGTTTTTTCTGTGTTATGGTTTGTTATGACCTCCTCATGGTCACCATCATCCATAACTAGCTCTTTGGCACAACAGCGTGGAAACCAGCCTCGTACTCTTTTCTTCTTTCCTGTAATAACGTATCAAATTGAATCATCATTCACAGTTAACAGTTTTGTCACTAAAGGGTGTTAACAGTTTTGTCACTAGAGGGTGTTAACAGTTTTGTCACTAGAGGGTGTTAACAGTTTTGTCACTAGAGGGTGTTTACAGTTTTGTCACTAAAGGGTGTTAACAGTTTTGTCACTAGAGGGTGTTAACAGTTTTGTCACTAGAGGGTGTTAACAGTTTTGTCTGAAAAGGGTGTTAACAGTTTTGTCACTAGAAGGTGTTAACAGTTTTGTCACTAGAGGGTGTTAACAGTTTTGTCACTAAAGGGTGTTAACAGTTTTGTCATTAGACGGTGATAACAGTTTTTTTGTCACTAGATGATGGTGTTAACAGTTTTGTTACTAGAGGGTGTTAACAGTTTTGTCACTAAAGGGTGTTAACAGTTTTGTCATTAGACGGTGATAACAGTTTTTTTGTCACCAGATGATGGTGTTAACATTTTTGTCACTAGAGGGTGATAACAGTTTTGTCACTAGAGGGTGTTAACAAGTAGAGGGTGATAACTGTTTTGTCACTAGAGTGTGATAACAGTTTTGTCACTAAAGGGTGTTAACATTTTTTTCACTAGAGGGTGATAACAATTTTGTCACTAAAGGGTGTTAACCGTTTTGTGACTAGAGGGTGCTAACAGTTTTGTCACTAGAGGGTGTTAACAGTTTTGTCACTAGAGGGTACTTACAGTTTTGTCACTAGATGATGGTGTTAACATTTTTGTCACAAGTGGGTGGTGCTTACAGTTTTGTTACTAGAGGGTGTTAACAGTTTTGTCACTAGAGGGTACTAACAGTTTTGTCACTAGATGATGGTGTTAACATTTTTGTCACTAGAGGGTGATAACAGTTTTTTCACTAGAGTGTGATAACAGATTTGTCACTAAAGGGAGTTAACAGTTTTGTCACTAGAGGGTGACAACAGTTTTGTCACCAAAGGGTGTTAACAGTTTTGTCACTAGAGGGTCATAACAGTTTTTTCACTAGAGTGTGATAACAGATTTGTCACTAAAGGGAGTTAACAGTTTTGTCACTAGAGGGTGACAACAGTTTTGTCACCAAAGGGTGTTAACAGTTTTGTCACTAGAGGGTGACAACAGTTTTGTCACCAAAGGGTGTTAACAGTTTTGTCACTAGAGTGTGCTAACAGTTTTGTCACTAGAGGTAGTTCATAGTTCTGTTACTCATTCTGGGACACCATTACTGTGGAATGTGTCTTTTGCCTGTAAAGAGGACATTAGGAAACCAACGTTGATGTGCTGCCCCATTTGCTTTTTATATTTATATATTTGTATTTTGTATTCATTTTTAGGGAGGGGGAAACAATTAGCTTGCAGATTTTCCTCCTGGTATTGAATTTTAGGGAGGGGGAACTACTGGCTGGTTGGATCTTTACCCCCTTGACATTGATTTGAGGGTGGATGGGGGATGGGGAGGGGGACAGGAGGGTTATTTGCAGGCAGATTCTTTCCCCTCGGAATAGAATATTAAAAGAGGGGGACACTAATTCTTACCTGCTTTTAATTTACTTGCGATCAGTTTTGTCCCATACAGCCATCGCCTGAAATAAGTCAAATAATCAAGTACTTATTATTATTCAGGTATTTTTAGAAAACAAGCTTAATTTTTAGTGGAGCATTTGGGAGAAGTTCTAAGAATTTCTTCACCTATGATTGGTAACTTAAAATATATTGGCAATTTAGTTTAGAAGTAATCATTTGTTACTTACAAATGTACTACTTTTATAAGTAGACATCAAGAAAACAGAAAATACCTCAGTAACTTCACAAATTAAGTTAATACCTCTATGTTACAACGGCAATCCTTCTTTTATAAAGGCAATAACCCTGTTACTGAGGTAATACATGTATCAACTTCATATTTAAGCTATAGGATTTTCTAGAACTGTTATTCTTAGACTTCGATTTTGTTCTCATGAATCCATTTGCCAGCTTAAGGACCAGATTTAAGAGGATTGTTACAACTTACACAGGTGTGAATTATCTATAAGGACAGACTATCCTCATAACACTGGAGTTACACTTAATCTTTAGTAAGATTTCTCTTACTTTTTCCAGCGGGTCACCAGGACCTTATCTCCAGCAGCCACTGGTATTCGTGGTTCATCTGTACAGGGCATGTTCAAACAAACTCGACAACCCATATTCAGGGGTATCCACGCTCCACTGAAATCGGACACAATCAGGTACTCCAGAGTTCTGTCTCGCTTTAGAGCTTTTTGTTGAATTTGTTCAATCTGCATTAATGTAAAATACCAAAGTCATGTTGTAGATGATAAAAAGTATACCATACCTAGTCAAATTTAAGACACTGTTACAATACATTTTATACCAGACTTGGTGAATTTTACTTCAGTGTTACACAAGCCATGTAGCCTCAAGTGGATGTGTCTGCTACACGGTCATGCATGTACAGAAGGATTGAACAAAAAAAATACAATTTCACATTCATATCGGCATGAATATTGAAACAAGAATTCCACGGGAGTGGATGTGTGGCCTGCTCAGCACTTTCAGTAAGGAAAGTGTTTTGGCTGGAGTTATCAGGGAAAACAGATATGCCAAAAAGGCAGAAAGCTGAAACCCGACAGAAAAATTCGTAATAACAGTTGAACATTATTGCTTCTAGCATTACCGTACAAGAAAGGAATTAATTAAAAAATCAAAACAATCTTGCATTTACTACACAATGCCCTTATTTGACAATATAAGGGGCATAACTCCACAAAAAATGCATGTAAACTTCTGAAATGTGAGTTCGTCCGAGCTATATTGGTATGCAATATGTGTACCAAGTTTGAGTTCAATCAACCCAAGGGAACTCAAGTTATCGCACAGAAACCTTGTTTCGGACGACGCAACCGACAAAGTATTGCCTATATGTCGCCGCTCGTTGCAGGCGACACAAAAATGTCATTCAATCCTTATATTTACATTATTAATATTTAAGTTATTATTGATCTAAATACAGATATTTCCTTATATTTTCTGTATTGAAGTGTCATTGTTGTCATGTTAATGCAAGAGGAGAAGCTTCAAAACGATCGATGCTGATCTAATCGCGTTCATAGCCCGCCCTTTTAACACAATTTCTAATTGTAATGCTTATTAAAGAATTTGCAGTAGAAATGAAATATACCTCTGTACAATACATTTTGGCTATCTATGATGTCAGATATTTGTGGAATTGCTTTTCAAAGACTTAATATTTAGTGAGAGAACATCACGTTTTTATCGAGTACATGTATAATGTATTTTACAATCATTTATCAATTTTGTTTTTATATTTTATGAAAACCATTTCTTGAAATATTCAATGTAACCAAAGAGTCAAGATTAATGCCTCTAGATGGTTACTACTACAGTTAAAAAACAATGTATCAACACTTACCGTGAGTGTGTACTGGTTACATCCCTCGCGTACCGGCCAGGTGATGCCGTCTGCCTGGGGCATGCCTGACCATGTAAACACTTGTGATAGGTTTTTCCAGCAACCAAAATTATAGGGATATATAAATTCACCCTCTTCTGGCTCTCGGTCCCTGTCTAAAGCCTGAAATCATATGAAAATAATTTAAAATTAAGAAGCATTTTGTCATTTCTCTGAATTATCACACTTTACGATTACATTTAATTTTTATGAGCAGACTTGCTTATCTTTACCATATGATTAGCTAAGCAACCTCTTTTTCACTCTCTGCACCCCTGAAATATGTCACAGCAAAAATGAAGGTTCAGTACATGTGCACCACCTTGTGGATGAGACCAGAACACTAGTTTGATCCTTTTATGTATATCAAAAGAATATCTCAGTTGCGTAAGGGTAAAATTGAAGGGAGTTAATAATAACATACATGTATATACATTTGAACTTGTCAGTGACTATTTTTATTATTTTCATCAAAATTCTGTATTAACCTTATTTGTTAAGAGCTTGAATGCATGCTTTTCAATAAACCACTCTTCAAGAAATACATCTACCCATGTTCCTATTGTTATCATATACTCTAGTTACAAATGTACTGTATTAATACTGTCACATACATTTTCTACAAGTACAAATTGTGACATGATAAGAACAATACTATGTGAACACAAAATCACAGCAAAAGCAAGATTGTCAGTATTTTCCTTTGGTTTCTCCAGTCTAAATTTTACAAAAGGTGTACTACATGTTGATTGTCGTGATATAAAGAATCTCAAAGTCCTTCCAACTTCCATCCAACTTTTATTAAATTTACTAATGCTTTTTGTTTCCTAAAAACAATAATCATAAAGTAATGTGAACATGTTTGAGACCCTTAATATTGGTATAGCTGTATTAGAACTCAAAACAACACACAATGCAATCTCTCACCAAATCTATAGGTGATTATTAGCAGTAACTACCTCTCACCAAATCTATAGGTGATTATAAGCAGTAACTATAAAATGTTATTTGGTTGATGAATTACTATCATTTAATATTTAAAAACCTGAGTATTTCCATATTATCAAGCATTGATATTATGATTGACTTAATGTTGTGCTAAATAACATGTATGTACGATCATTTGATAGGGTAATCTTATTTCGTTTTATTATGTTTATCTTGAAAGGATGTAAGCTGTGTAGGAGCCATCAGGTTTCTTTGCCTAGCTTCAGGATTAATCTACCAAGGGTGCTTCAAAGAAGGTGAAGAAGTACAACATATCTGTAATTCAAAAGCAACTGGAAACTGGAAAATCCCCATATTACTTTCTAATTTTCCAATAATGAAAATTATTGCCATAGGAATCCTTCATGAAATGTCATACTAATTTTTTTTACCGACTTTACCTGCGTCATTCGCCTGCAAGATATTTATCAGTTCCATGTTAATTTCACCTCTTCCAGTGACAGTACAGTGTACATGTGCGACATGCTGTTTTCTGTTAACACTTGCTGTCATGATAAGTTCACCCTTTCTGTAGATGGCAAAACTTAAAACTGCGGTGAACATTCCCAGTATACAAGATTCTGTTAAAACATTCCTATTTCAATATAATATTAAAAAAAATGTAATATGGACATTTTTTCAGTATTTAGCTTCAGCAACTAATGAAGTAACTGTTTGAAACACACAAAACAAAAGTGTTATCTATTAAGTAATGCTTCCACCAATCTGTTTTACCCATTTAATCACCCAGGATTCTATAAATGTCTGATTCCTAATGATGGTTCTAATCTGAAAATACAAAAAGGATTAATAATTAGAGAATCTATGGTCAATTTACCTTTTCAATGATCCATGACTCTATACCAGATTCATTCTTTATAATACTTTTCATCTGCAATAAAAACGGTTTGATATTACTTTATACATGACAAAGCCTAAAGCTCACCAGATTTAGACATACATTGTGGTTCTACATCATGGCAGAATGTCCATAATGGTGGAGCACCAGTAAAAGGGTGACAATAGTCAACCATTTTATTCCATAGTTCAGAGAGCTTATGGATTGCCTGGGCGATGATAAATGGTAAATGTGATAAAATATAAATAAAACCGTAACTAAAGGCAGACTATTAATTTCTTTGAAGCACATGTTGGACTTTATAACGTGTTTTCACTAGACATTAATTACGCTCTGTTAATAACCATGTTTTACTCCTCAATTTAATTTATTTTATAACATATTCAATTCAACTTCACAATTTTCAAATTGACGAGTGGAAATATTTTATACATAATGCAAGTGTGTAAACACGTATCCAGTGATATATATGAACCGTGAGGATACTGACCTGGATGACAAACAGCATACCCACAGCTATAAACACACCAATGGCAAGGCCGATCGCAAACATAGCTGTGATAAACCCAGCAAAGCCCAGCTGTACGATGGGGTCATTGGTGTAGTACATGTAGTATTGCTGAAAAGGAAGTCAATTTTTGTTTTCACATCCACAAAATCCAAACTTATAGGTCCCATCCCCCCATCTTCCCAAGTGGGGGGATGGGGGGGGGCACCCCTGTATGTACCATTTTATTCATATACAGGCGTATTTTGCAATTATCAAGAGAAAGCTCATTAATTGGTTATCAAGATTGAATTTTCACCACACTCAAAAAATTGTAGTGGGAAATTCTCTTGGAGTCATATAGACAGTGATCAATCCAAATAAAAGTTATCTGCCATGATGATACATGGGAGAAGATGTTTGGTATAAACGATAACTACATTAGACTCTGGACAATAGGGCAATCCAGTGGCGGATCCAGAGACCTATCTGGGGGGGTTTCCAAATTTCCTGGGGGCCGTTTCCATGTGGGGAAAAATTGAGGAAAAAGGTGAAAATACATGATTTTTAAAGAAAATTCTCAGGGTAGGGGGGGGTTCCTAAAGCCCAAAAAAACCCTCTGGATCCGCCACTGCTGAATCTAAGGAAAGGCCAGCTTTATTTGTATATAAAGTGTTGCAAGAGCACTACACAATATTTGATATACAGGAGAGTGGTTTAAACATACCCAGTTCAGAGCCTTGTACGTAGAAATGACAAGGACAATTGCTGCATGGGTGCAGCCTAGGGGGGCAAAAAACAGGAAGTAGACAAAGTTAGCATGATTGTAGTGACCACAACAGCTGTTAATCCAAGGGCAGTGGTGGTCCATCTTCATCACACACCTGTAACACATAAAACAGGGGAGGATTAACAGTCGATCAGTAATACACTGCTACACACCTGTAACACATAAAACAGGGGAGTATTAGCAGTCGATCAGTAATACATTGCTACACTCTAGTAACACATAAAACAGGGGAGTATTAACAGTCGATCAGTAATACATTGCTACACTCCAGTAACACATAAAACAGGGGAGTATTAACAGACGATCAGTAATACACTGCAACACACCTGTAACACATGAAACAGGGGAGTATTAACAGTCGATAAGGAATACACTGCTACACACCAGTTGTAACACCAAAAAAGGCAATTAGGCCACTGCTACACATAAAACAGGGCAGTATTAACAGTCGATCAATAATACATTGCTACACTCCAGTAACACATGAATCAGGGGAGTATTAACAGTCGATAAGTAATACACTGCCACACATAAAACAGGGGAGGATTAACAGTCGATCATTAATACATTGCTCCACATAAAACAGGGGAGGATTAACAGTCGATCATTAATCCAATGCAACACATAAAACAGGGGAGGATTAACAGTCGATCATTAATCCAATGCAACACATAAAACAGGGGGGTATTAACAGTCGATCATTAATCCAATGCAACACATAAAACAGGGGGGTATTAACAGTCGATCATTAATACATTGCTCCACATAAAACAGGGGAGGATTAACAGTCGATCATTAATACATTGCTCCACATAAAACAGGGGAGAATTAACAGTCGATCAGTACTACACTGCTACACACCTAAAACGCATAAAACAGGGGAGTATTAACATTCGATCAGTAATACACTACTACACACCTGTAACTCATAAAACAGGGGAGTATTAATAGTTGATCAGTAATACACTGCCACACATAAAACAGGGGAGGATTAACAGTCGATCAGTTATTCACTGCTACACACCTGTAGCACATAAAACAGGGGAGGATTAACAGTCGATCATTAATACATTGCTCCACATAAAACAGGGGAGGATTAACAGTCGATCATTAATCCAATGCAACACATAAAACAGGGGGGTATTAACAGTCGATCATTAATACACTACTACACATAAAACAGGGGAGGATTAACAGTCGATCAGTTATCCACTGCTACACACCTGTAGCACATAAAACAGGGGAGGATTAACAGTCGATCATTAATCCAATGCAACACATAAAACAGGGGGGTATTAACAGTCGATCAGTAATACATTGCTACACTCCAGTAACACATGAATCAGGGGAGTATTAACAGTCATAATTAATACACTGCTACACAACTGTAACACATAAAACAGGGAAGTATTAACAGTCGATCAGAAATACGTTGCAACACTCCAGTAACACATGAATCAGGGGAGTATTAACAGTCGATCATTAATACACTGCTACACATAAAACAGGGGAGTATTAACAGTTGATCAGTAATACACTGCTACACATAAAACAGGGGAGTATTAACAGTCGATCAGTAATACACTGCTACACACCTGTAGCACATAAAACAGGGGAGTATTAACAGTCGATCATTAATACACTGCTACACACCTGTAACACATAAAACAGGGGAGGATTAACAGTCGATCAGTAATACACTGCTACAGACCAGTAACACATAAAACAGGGGAGTATTAACAGTTGATCATTAATACACTGCTACACACCTGTAGCACATAAAACAGGGGAGTATTAACAGTCGATCAGTAAGACACTGCTACACACCTGTAACACATAAAACAGGGAAGTATTAACAGTCGATCAGTAATACACTGCTACACACCTGTAGCACATAAAACAGGGGAGTATTAACAGTCGATCAGTACTACACTGCTACACACCTGTAACACATAAAACAGGGGAGTATCAACAGTCGATCAGTAATACACTGCTACACACCAGTAACACATAAAACAGGGGAGCATTAACAGTCGATCAGTAATACACTGCTACACACCGGTAACACATAAAACAGGGGAGTATTAACAGTTGATCATTAATACACTGCTACACACCTGTAGCACATAAAACAGGGGAGTATTAACAGTCGATCATTAATACATTGCTACACATAAAACAGGGGAGTATTAACAGTTGATCATTAATACACTGCTACACACCTGTAGCACATAAAACAGGGGAGTATTAACAGTCGATAAGTAATACACTGCTACACACCTGTAACACATGAAACAGGGGAGTATTAACAGTCGATCAGTAAGACACTGCTACACACCTGTAACACATAAAACAGGGAAGTATTAACAGTCGATCAGTAATACACTGCTGCACACCTGTAACACATAAAACAGGGGAGTATCAACAGTCGATCAGTAATACACTGCTACACACCAGTACACATAAAACAGGGGAGTATTAACAGTCGATAAGTAATACACTGCTACACACCTGTAACACATGAAACAGGGGAGTATTAACAGTCGATCAGTAATACACTGCTACACACCAGTTGTAACAACAAAAAAGGCAATTAGGCCAGACCAGCACTCAAACCCTTTACCTTCACTTATTTGATCACTATACTGTCTCTCTAACGAACTGAGCTTACTAATATCCAACTCAAAATTAAGGGGAGGTAACTGAATGCATGAAAAAGTACTTGCAGTGGAAGTTCCATGCTAAGCTCTAACAATTAAGGTCATGACAAAGGCTCACATCTTCAGAAATTGCTAACTTGATCTTCCAAACTTTCGTCAAAGAAGCTGGTTGTCATGTATTCAAACTTGTACGAATTAAGACTTACCGATCACATTTTCTACAATGATGGGATCTGGGACTTTTGAATCCTTCACAAACTTCACAATATTGTAAACAGCTTTCTCCTTCTTCAGAGTCCTGGAATAACAAATCCTATCAATATAACTATATTGACATTCTGATGCAAGATATTAACTGGCACAAACATAAGGACTTCACACAATATCATTACAACCGGAAGTTACTTTGAGGACTTAAATTGTCTAACAAAATGGTATTGCAACTTCATACAGATCTTTCAGGCATTTTTTGTAAGAAAAAGTGTATTGAACAAATGTGTTATGACTTAATATAAATCTGCCCCACACGTTACTTTAAAGGAAAGTGTATATCTGACAAAAACATATGATATTTGTTACTGTACATTTAGCTATATGCCATCCTCTGTTTTTTCTTTCCCTTTGATGTATTTTTACTCAAGTCCACTCAAAGATTTGTGTTGATAGCTAGCATCCTTGGTTTTTTTAAGTATAAAATAATATATTTATTAGGATTCCATTACATAATTTTGAAGGATAATCCCATTCAAACTTTTAATGCAGAATTGTATGGCCCCTGTATACAATATAGTTTGTAAAATGTTCATGAACATGGCAATGGGATATGCAAATTTGGACTGTCTCTAGTTTGATCAATTAGGAGGTGAACTTGGCTGATGATGAGTTCTAGCGACTGATAGCTCTAGATCTGTTTGTAGGATATTGGTACAGAATTTGAAGCATAAACATATGTTTAATCACATACATTTATCATCAAATCTAATGAATACTGACAGTGTATAGTGTAACAATATATACAGATTGAAGTTTTAAGAATAAAAGCTCTAGGTACTTGAAAGCAAGATAGCTGTAACCAGACTGGGTCGATTAAGGCTCCTGTACCACTGCCAAAACCTGTAACTATATATTGAAGACTGATTGTTCAGGCATTACTATAGTGTTGATAAAAATAGACATGAAATATAGAACTCTGAACTATACTGCTCTGAGTGTAGCAAATGACCCAGAGGGCCTGTATCACTCACCTGTATATTTAAGCAATCATGGGCAAATGATTTCAACACAAGTAATTTTGCAAATATTTCGGCATATTGAGTCCCTTGGCATAAGAGTGTTCCAGACTGAATGATTCAGATCACTTTATCTGCACTGAAATAGGTTTCAAGATTTTCTCTGGTAACCTCTATTGAGCCCTGTCCTGTTGCTGTTTAGGGAGCCAGAACCTCCGTTTATAAAAAATTGAGTTATCTTGGGTCATAGGATATTTCATACTAAATCTGGTCAAGTGGGTTAAAGTTATTTCTGTGATGGTACTCTTCATTATTAGAAAAGAGTTGTTTAAGGTAATAGGATTGTGTCGCCATTTCTCAGTAGAATTTTTTGGTTTTATTGCTTTGATCGAAGTAAAGAAAATTTTCTGCCACAAAAAAATATTGGTTGTCGTAATTTTAAGGAATTTAAATGGAAATTTATGTAAAAAGGAGTGAGTTTTGAAAAAAATATGAAAGACACAATGTTTTGCAAAATAATGTCAATAAAAATGATACTGCCATAGATTAGTATTGCATTAATGTATATCAATTTAATAAATGCTGGAATTATGTCAAATAAATGATCTATTTAACGATTAAAGATTGTCACTTTATAATAAAACCATATACACATAGTAATTGCATGGAAGAGTTATCTTTCTTGAAAAACTTCACAGTACTGAAATAGGTAGCCGGTTTCCTGAAGTACAGAAAATGGATACATATGTGACTCATTGATAAAAAAACCCTGAATTAATGCCTGGATTGCTTTGAAATACTTCAATATTGAGAGAAAACACTGTCAATAATGAACATACAATATTCATCAGTTTAATATTAAACATTAGAATAGGCAGAAATTGCGATACTATCTCCCTACATTGGATTTTCAACTAGGGATGTACTTCCTACTTCTGTTTATCAATACACTCCTATGACCTTAAAGTTTTTTTACACATTTGATCCCAGTAAACCTAAAAGTAGGACAAGGCCGTTCCCTTGAGAAAACTTTATACTGTTCTATCCAAGCGGCATGTTATACAGTCTGTGTTCTATGTGTTCTATACACGTACATTTATAGTCACTGGTCACAGGCAGTGTACAATTCAGGTTTTACAGATAGGCCAGAGTCTGGTGTCACCCAACCTCTAGATCTGCCTCTTGTTTTGTCCTGTCCACATGTACCAGTCCTATATATGCTAAGTGTTGTCAGTTTACCTGTCTGTGGCTTCATGAATGCTTTGCTGTCTGTGCATGTGCACGTGTCTTAGTCAGTGTCAGCATTTCATAGTTTTGTCTTGTTGTATATAGCAGGGTGTAACTTTCGTTTCGGGGCAGACCAAAGGATGGGGTTCCTGCAACGACTGCCATAGATGTATGTCATTAGAGATACTTAATGCAGCTGGGTATAGAACCGAATGGGTATCTTGAGTGGATCTTGTAGGTCGGATTTAGGGAACTTTCAGTATATAGTGATATGAAACGTTAGGGTTAGCTGGGGGCCCTAGGGGTCTAAGGGTTCTGTTTATATGTATCTATATGTTGTTCATGTTTACTTGTACAAATTTCTGTTAATAAATACTACTGTTGTGGGGAGTGCTGGGTATAACACCGAACTTCGCTGAACTCTTTGCACAGACATTGGATCTCCCACTAACTTGGATTAAAGCTGATATACCTAGCTGCGATAACGTAGCTTTCTGACGACAAGAGTTTTTTATAAAATATAGCCGGCCGGGTATTAATATTAGTACTATATATTTATACCCAGCACAATGTTGTCATGGTCATCTTTTCCTTTTGACTGCTGTTAATTGTTTATCCGAGTTAAGTTATATCTATATATCAACAAAAATGAGTACCAAATTCGAACCTGGGTTAAAGGAGGTCATAAGGTGGCGAGCTTGGTGTACTGTAGTTTGTTCACAGCAAACTGGGCCTGTCTCGCTCTCCCGTTACACATTGTATTTTGGATTACTCTGATGTACCATTATATTTTACCCTATGACTCACCGGTCTCCATCCTTTGGGGACGAAGCCTGGACCTTTGAAGGCAGCAAGCAAATAGTTGTAAAGTACGAGGAACATCCACATGCAATAAATGCACAGGTGCATTATCCCCCCAGGAGTGTGTAGTGGCCACCACATCAACAGGCACCGCATTCCAGTGAAAGAGATCATAAAGATGACGGAGAGAGCGATGATGGGTCCCCAGTGGAACAACTGGCTTGGTCTAACCACCATCTTGTAAGTAAACTGTCCCATTTTGATAGAAATTCTCAAAAATGACACCGGTATCGGGATATTACTGAGCTGTGTCAATACATTGTCCAAAATAACGTGATCCTATTATCTACGAGTCTATTCTATTTCATCCGCCTTGTTTCTTCAGGTTTATCCTATATACAAATACGCTCAATTGTTTGTTCGCATTGTTGACAGGTATACACAGTTCTTTGATCACCAGTTACCATTTCGGTACTCACTCTTGCGTACTGCCAGAGAATATTTTTGATTATTAAACCAGACCTGTCATGTTTTTTGACCCGGAAGAGATAAGATGATACGCATACAAAGGGAGCAAACTCTAACTACCGCCTAACTACCGTCATTTTCGTTTCCGATCCAGCGACTGAAAACAAGCGGAGCCTGGCCCACGGTAAAAGCAACCTCGGGCCTGGAAGAAAAGCCCTTAGGATATCTAATACCACCACCAGGTACAACAATATTACCTTTACTAACCGACTGTGTACTTACTGTCTGGGCACTTATGACCACTGTATATATATATATATATGTATTCATTTTCTTCTCTTCACTTCATCACGGCGCCCCCCCC